CCCCCCCCCCACTACTATCAAATATACCGAGAAAAAGAGCAAGTATTTGTCGGTCAATTTAAAGTGTTTTCTTAGAAATATTCCGTTAGATTCAGACTTGTCTGACACAAATAAGTAGTCGTAGTGGTTGATCGTGACATATGTGGCATATAACGATTGTGAGATGCAGTTGATAACCCTTTCGAGAAACTGTAGGAGCCAACAAAACCTATAAAATCGCTTGCAGCTGTTGTCCTCATAAGTGCTCACACGCGCAATAAGTTTTAAGAGTGAGTATGCATACTAATCCAGCTGTTATCGACCAAAAAAAGAATTGTTCAAATTAATGATAAAAGTATGAAACTTTGCCACAACACTTATGACCCTAAGACTAACATTTTCTGATAAAGGGCCAATCCAAATTAACCTCTGATGACGAGAACCACACATATCAGAAATTCGCTAACATGGAAACGAGGCTAAGGATAAAAAATCCTCTTTAACAACATTGCTTGGGGAAATTTGCGAAAGAAATCTTTATCTTTTTATAACCGCTAGACTATACGCACTCGGGACCAGTTTTTTTTTTCCCTGTGCGGATGTGGGTACTCTCGCTTCCAGACTTTCCCAAAATAATCCAAGACGCTAGCCATGCTGTTTGTAAATTGGTGCACGTACACCCGAGAGGATTTCAAGCGCCATTGAATATTGTGGTTAATTATGGAGAGCTATTCATTTCTAAACTTGCACAAATGTTTCTTCAATTTCGGTCGGGAAAGAGGGACTGCATAATGTCAATCTGACCTTACTCCATGGAAACTGCTTAGAATTTCTCAGCTTCAGCGAAATTGAGCTACAATGAATTATTCTCGTTAATTACAGGGATATTTTTAAATCGCAAACAAAGCATTGTAGTTATCATAAATTATTAAATCTGAGTCATCAATTTGCATTACAACTAAGCTTTTGAATTAGGTAAAAAAAAAAAAAACAGTCCAATTCAGGATAGAATTACAGATATAAGAATTTTAGCTTGATTGCGCTTCATACGGTTCAAATCATGAGGACTTTAGGGGAGGTTGGGGCGCACATGGCTTACAACGCTGTATTAGTCGGAATGTTAATCATGTATGGGTTATTCGGAGCGTTCGTTTTTAGGAAATTCGAGGCTACTGAACGTGTGTCAGTATCAGACGGCCAGCCAGGAATTTCGAGAGATGAATTACTTGTAGACCTGTGGAGTGGAAAAGATCTTGACTTTGACGCGTGGTCTGTGCAAGCGAAAAACAAATTGGATTTATACGAAGAAGGTTTTAATCCGGAGTCGTCCATTTCTGCCGAATGGAGCTTAGATGAGTCGTGGTTATTCGCTTGCACAATATTCACTACTATCGGTAAGAGGGATCTAGAACTGATTTATTGAATTTCCTTTCAATGAGCTTTTTTATTTCTTCTTGATTATTTTTGTGTCGCTTTTACTTTTGCTTTAAGGCTTTCGCGCGGGAGCTAAGTTGAGCTGCATTTCACCTAATCTGAAATTCAAATTACTGTGGTTGTCCGGCATCTGAAAAGGAAAGTGAGGGAGGGGATGGAAGGGAAGCGGGGAAGTGGTTCGAGGGAGAGGGACATAGGGGAAAAGAAAAGGAGCTTTGTGAGGAACCCACGAGAGTTGAGCGGCCAGCGGGAGATCTGCTAAAGGTCTTGGACAAAAAATGATTTGTTATGCCAAATTCACAGACCTCTCGCCAGCTGGACTCTCGACGACCACAGGACACTCATGTAGTAGCTCTAAAGAAAGCATATTCGTAGGTTGCAGAAAAGGGAGCCTGAAAAAAAAATCTAGTTACGACAAGTAAATTAAGTCCAGTAAACACCTGCTATTCGAAGTCTCTTTCACTGCCTTGCAATGGTTTGATCGCGCTACGCGGCTGCGGGTGAGACTGGAGCTCGACTCAGTCTGCTGGATTTATCCTCTCGGCTGAAAATCACAACGAGGAAAAAGGGACTTGCAGGGAATAAATCAAACCATTTTATATGTTGGTTTGTTTTACACTAACACGTAGAAGAATAATTAAATCCCGCTGAATTAATATTTTTGTCTTATGCACTTAAGGTTATGGCAATATTACCCCGATGTCCACCTCTGGCCGTATTTTCTGTATTCTGTATGGATTTGTTGGAATACCTTTGTTCAATGTAGTTGCCGTGAGTCTAGGATCTCTAATAACCGGGTTAGTTACTTTTATGTCCTCATATTTACCTTAATTTACCTTATTATCACCTTAATTTCGATGATGGACGACGAATCGTCAACCATTGTTTTTTCTGTTACCGTTTTTTTGAAACCATTAAAACTAAGTTTTGTTATTTGAAGTTTTTGACTCTATTCTGTGGTTTACGATTAGGAAGCAGGAAGGAAAGAGTGAGTATGTCCTGGCATCCTCACGCACATGCAAGTGTTGCATATTTGAACAAGAAGTAATTTTCGCGCGTTATCGCGTCCATGCCAATCTGGTTCTTTGAGCCCTTCGTTTTGAGTTGAACAAATCGGTAAATGTTCGACAGAAGGGAACGAGAATGGTGCTCATAAAAGGTTTTAAGTCCTGAGAAATAAGAGCTTATCACTCTAAATAATTTTGTGGTAACTAATTAATTTTGCTCGTATAGAAAGAGATTGGATCTTTCTGTACAAAAGAGATTTAATTGACGCCAACAACAGTTTCAACTGATACCTCTTCTCGATTTTAGCTCTTCCCAAGTCAACGTTTAATCGTTCTCTGAAAGTAAATATATTTTATTCGACATTTATCACTACCGTTTTAATGCCAATTGTTCTACTGCTTTTTTCCTTTTTTTTTTTCCAGCGTGATTCAATTTTTTCACTCCACCTATGAGAAGCGAAAGAGAAAAATTGTGGCAGAAACACATAAGAAAGACGACTTTGACTCTGAACCGCTGGCAAGTGAAGTCAACCAAGAGGGTAACCTTACTTTCAAGAGTGTACTGAGCATGACTGTAGCTTATCTAGCGGCTGGTACACTGCTATTCTCCCTGTGGGAGGATTGGTCGCTGTTTGAAGCGTTCTACTATTGCTTTGTGACTCTGACAACGATAGGTAAGGAAACAGTGGCGGATCGGGGGGAGGCGAGGGTACGAGGGGTCCGTGCATTTTTTTCTGAGAGCAAAATTCTTGAAACAACAGGATCCCAAATTGTTGTTGTTGTTGTTGTTGTTGTTAATGTTGTTCTCTATTAATGAAACACGCATTAGAGAACTCTCAAAACAATCAGGTTCGAAACTTAAAACTTGGCCGGTGTGGCAGTTTCGTTATTTTTATTTTTTAATTCTTATCAACATATTAGCTACACATTTATTTCCTCATGGCCTGTTTGGTCTTTAATAATACTCTACTCTAGTTTTACGACATAGAATCGAAAGGCTCTGTATACACTTGGTAACAAAACAAAGCAAAGCCCTTCGAAGAGAACAAATAGATCTAAAGCACAGAACGTCTAAAAATACCATTCTGTCTTCTGATCCTTGACTCGAATCGATAAACTGACGATTACACAGTGTTTCTTTTTTACTGAGAGACAGCGGATTAAATGCCTTAGAACTCAAGTTTTAAGGCATAGTTTTGACTTGCATGTCATTACTTTTGTTGATTTTCGGTATTTCAGGTCTCGGGGATTATGTGCCGCAGAACATGCACCACACGGTGTTCTTTGGTGGGTACATTATCGTGGGTCTTGTCTTGGTGACCATGCTATTTAGCACCATGGAAGAAGAGATTTCTCAGTGGTTTGATAAGATTAAGAAAGCAGCTGGGATAACAAAGCACCCGCAAGAGGACAAAAAGGATCTCTAGGCCATGATACTGATATTGAATACATCTACACCTTGGATTGTGTTTGATTACCGCTGCATGAACGAAAAATGCCGGCGTTGAGTGTTACTAGGTGAGAGACAACTAATCTGCAACCCCGAGAGCTACTGGTTAAAGAAACACAATGGCGTTTAGCGGATAAACAGAAATACAGCGCGACAGATGTGTGGCTAGAACAGAAAGTAGAGATCTAAAAATTCGTTGACCAAGATGAGGAAAATGTTCGGATGAAGTTTTGTCAGCGGCCAATTGTTTGGCATCATAAGCTCTGCTATTTCTTTCCTTTTCTTGATTTGTTTTGTTTTGTTTTTTTTTACACATAATAGCGGAGCTCGCAGAGCGTAGCCCCATAATTATACAAAATAGTAGTAACCCATCAAGCCGAAAAAATTTGGTTGTACGACCATACGACCGTACAAGGTGCTACTTTTAACATGCGTGCTCAATTGTACCACGGCTTTGTCCGGTAGTCCAGTGGTCAGTGGCACTGGGCTCTGAGTCGGACGACCTGAGTTCTAGTCCTGGCCCGGGCAAGGCGTTGTGCCCTTGAGACGTGCGGGAAAAAAATGCGAGCTCCGCTTTTAGGCTTGGCTAAATCTGTATATTATACTGTCCTGTTAAGAAACTGATTATCTTAATATGTAGCCTTAAACTGATACCGACATCCGTTTTGTGAATGAAATAAACTCAGCCAAGACTGTTGTGCTTTATTAAAACATAGGCTCGTTCCCGGTTTGTAGCAGAGAAAATAGAAGGAAATTCAGGATTTACGGGTACAAGTTACTTTTCTTCTTCTGTCGCTTATGCATACATATCTCGGCGAGTCTGCAAGTATCAATGCAGCAGAAGAGCATGTTTCCCTATCAAAACTTTGGCATTTTAAACCAGAAGTAGTGGTGAAAGGAGGGATGTACTCAATAAAGCGGCAGACTTTCTATGTCCTTCTCGCCGGTCTTGGGTTGAACTTCTAACTTAACCGAAATAGCATCTAAGCTCTCTCGCTGATATTTACGTAACATAAAAGCGACCAGAAGTGTTGGAGATGGAAATACGTCAACATTTTAGTAAAAACAGAGGATGACAATCACGTTTGCAAGTTACTGTTTCTTTCATCGGGTAGAATGGTCCGACATTAATGCATTATGATATGCAACCAAGGCAAGCCATCAAAGCATTGAATGAGAAAAAGCGCGAATTCGCCAAAGGGTACTCACGAAAATAACCATACCATTCTTTAATTGCATTCACTTTTCAGATGTACTTCATCTGAAAGTTAGGGAAAGGATCTCGTCGGCCTGCTTCGACTAACGGTTAGCGCCTATAGATTAAGTCTTAATGTCGATGTAACTCAACTGGAGAGATAACACATAAATAAAGGAAGTGAATTTCTAAAGAAACTGTGGTGCTGCGTCGGTAGAGGGCATTACAAGCCCTTCGTCAGAACGATTACGCTAAAACGTCAGCTTAAGAATCCCTTTACGATGGCAATCTTCAATTGAGTGTCGAAAGTAATCCGACATTGCATTGGTTTTGCTTTACTTAGCTCTGTGATAGTTCCAGAAAACTTGCGCTATTCCCTCAACCAATCAGATGCAAAACTGAAAGCAATCACGACTTGGTCGCCCGCGTTTTCCCGCGCTTTAGTCAGTTATTCTCTTGCCTATGATTGACAGTCGTGATTACATTGATTTTGCTTTTAAGACACTCAATCAAAAAGCGCTCTATCGACTCAATTGATAAAAGCAAATTGTCTGGAAAGATAACCCTTTACTCATACACCTCAAATAACTTTTCATCTACGCAATTGTTCCCAGTTTCACTTTCTTTGGCCTCTTCCATCTATTTTTCCGCTTTAAGTCGGCAAGTTCCCCTTTCATCGCCATTAGGGCTCGAGGATCTCTTACATCGTAACCAAGCCTCTGCGCATTAATTTTCCGCAGTCTCGCCTCCTCTTTTTCCTTTTTCAATTTGGCTCTCTTTTCTCGCATCCTTTCACGATAATCGGCGACAATTTCTGGCATCTTGGCCATGTTTTCCGCAATTCTTGCTAGCCTAAAAAGTGAGTAGAAAGCCAGCAGTGTTATAGCTTGTTTTTTTATCTCTTCCCTTCAGAGAGCTGGGCGTAAAATTTTCAAGTCGTTTTCTGAGACATGCAAAATATCAGTCTTACGGGAGGGCAGATCGGCAAAACAGGAAGGCTTCACTAAAAAGCCACAAAAATATTCAAGGATGGAGGATATTCACTCCAATTACAAATTAAACACTTGCATCAACCATGACAAACTCCCTTAAGCTCCGCCTTTGAGTAAGGGAATCAAATGAAATATTTATCTCAAAGGAAGTTTAAGAAGAATAAATTCAGTATTTTTGAGATGGCAGGAGTAGTTTTAAACTTCACAATAGGGTAAACGGTTTGACCTTGGGAGCATAATTGTCTGATTGTCTGGGTGAGAGTGGTCCTGGGAAGGAATGTTGTCCGTAGTAGTGACTGACATTTTAACAACCTATGCAGAGGTCATCATTGGAGTTGGAAGTTGTCATCTTGACTCTGATGTTGAGTTCCATTGAAGTTGTCGAAACATCAGTCTCTACTACGAACAAAAGTCCTTCACCAAGTTACTTGCATTCAGACATTCATACAACATGATAAAATATTACTTTGATCCTTTGACCTCTAAGAGTGACTGACATCAAATATCTCCCTACAATATCATCCCTGAATCCCATGTTAAGGTAACAAGAATAAAGGAAATGATCACCAACTTAAGAGGCTCTTGATTGTTAAACAAATTCTCCTTGTCAGCTACTTGGTAAATGTTTAGAGAACAGTATGGAGAATATGCATACTGATATTAGAGTGTAAAGGGTTCATGAAAAATATAATAACTCACCTTTCCTCCTTTCGAATTGCTCGCTTGTGTCCTTTTGGTGTTCTATCCAGTCCCCTGTCACGCATTGGTCTCTCTGGCCAATAGAAGCCTTTAGCTATATATTCATTTCTTAAAGCTGCTAACGCTCTGGCATTGTACAAAGGCTTGTGCCATTTGCCGTCTACTAGTTGACCTTTGGACTTCCTTAGGATCTCTGCCACTTCAGGGTGCACTGTTAAAATAAGAAACAGATTAAAAACAAAAAGGGAGTGTGTCAGACTAAAAGATCAGTGTACCAATGGCTTATCAAAGTTCTGAACTGAGGAGAATGAAGCAACCACAAAGGGTGTTGTAGCTATTTTAGGCTTGAAGCTTCTTAAAGTTATTTTTTGGCATTTGGGACACACTTTAGTAGCTTTTGCTGATGTGAAATGGGGGTCAACATGAAGAGATTAACACAAGAATAAATGTACAGCAGGGATATGGTCATTAACTGAGGTTGCACTCTACCTGGTATGTGTTCCTCGAGAACAGGAGTTCCCATTCCACGGCTCTGCAATAAATGTGCAGGTGGATCAAGGTGTTCCTCTCTATCTATTTGTTCCTTTGCATCTGTTGCTTTGCTGCATAAATTTCTGAGTGAAAAAAAAAAAAAAAGAGTTTATTAAGCAAGCTACAGATTAAATTTGTATTCAGTAGTACAATACCCATGGAATATTTTTGGCCCTCCAAATGTTTGAAATCTCTCAAACTGAGTCTTAACTTCATCATCATAATAAAGTTCTTCTTCAATCATGTAAATTTTATGTTTCACTAGGAAGCCTTGGAGAAAATTTCAAGAGCTTTAGTTTCAAATTTTCCTGCTTGACTTTTAAGTCAACCTGGTGTTTTAAAGCTCTTGCCACTTTCAATATGCCAAAATTTGAACAAAGAAATTTGTCTGCATCAGAAGTTTCAGGTTGCAAGAGGGTCTGGCACTCTCTTATTTGTCATATACCATTTTTTCTCCAAACAGGGTCAGATTTGAATGGCCTACACAGTAAAACTCTGTCCAAACTTCCCTCAAGCCCCCCCCTCCCTCCCATGTGGCAAAGTTTCAGCCGGTTTCCCACACAGCAATGAGGTTAAAAAGTGTGTGCGCAAAAAAATAATATTAAAAACAATAAATGAATGAGGAATCAGACAGCAAACATCAAACAACAAACAACATTGATGTCTGCTGTCAAACAGCAGACATCAATGAAGCAAGAAAAACTTTAAAATTAATGGCAGATTCATTGCATCTTAATATGATTACATAACATCTGAGTAAAACAGACGTAGGGTGCAATTAAGGAGGGCATGGAAGAGAGGTCTTCATTACCGGCAATAGCAATGACATAGCAGTCCTTTAAAAATTTCACTTGCGATCAATTGTTTCTCTTGAAAATGCAACTCAACCAAATTTCTCAAAGGGTTAGAATTGCTACCTTTGTCTCTGCAGCTCACGTGCAGTCACATCAGTTGATAGATTGCACGTGAGCTAGGAACAGTCCATCAATGACCTGCAGTCGTGTGAGATCATTCATGAATTCAAAGTACAATGTTCTCCAACTAAACGGAATTCATCTCAAGGAAAACCATAAGTGATGTTCATAAAGAAATTTTTTTTCTAATGACAATAGGTCTTTCAGTTATAAAAATCTTTGCATGAGTTGTCGATAAAAAACTGTGTATATTTGAAGAGAATACCCTTACTGACTGATCAGGCAGCCTTGTTTAGCCACTAGTTTATAATTATTAAGCTAGTTAATTACCTTTGTATCTGTAATGTTCCAAATGTTAGCCTAAATGGGAGATTTTGAAGACTAGAAGAACTCCACAAGCGATTACAACTTCTACAGACAAATGCTACCAATTTGTTCGCCATCTTGGAATTGTCTGATGGTCACATGGGTAGTATTACCAAATACGGAAAATAGTTCCTAATAAGGAAAATACCTCCAGAAACTGTCGTTGACTAAAAATTATTTGGTAGTTGATATGGCGGAGGGCGACTTGAATGTGGACAGCATAATATCCCGCTTGTTAGAAGGTTTAAATTCTTTGTAATCTTTTCTAATTCCTTTACCTCGTGTAGATGAAATATAAACGTTACCTTTATTTTCTTAGCTCGCGGAAGACCAGGAAAGAGTGTTCAACTAGCAGAATCGGAAGTCCGTGGACTGTGTCTTAGATCCAGGGAAATCTTTTTGAACCAACCCATTTTGCTGGAGTTGGAAGCTCCTCTCAAAATATGCGGTAAGTAGGCTATGGTGAACCGCTGAAGCCCTTTGCAATTTAATCAAGTGTTACTGGACGTCTTTATCTAAGAACCAGATCCGCAGTCAGTGAGCAATGCCGAGTTGGAACGCGTAGCGTAGATTTTTCATGTCATTTCAGCTTTATTACTCGCCTTGTCAATTGCTGATCGGCTGTTCACTGCTTCTCTAAGTCTATTTCTTTTATATTAGATCACGTACTCAAAATTTTCGTGTCGGTCTGTTTCTAGAAGATCGGCATTGTGTTTGACGGAGTAATGATCGACGATTTGCATGTGTTGAAATCATCTCGTTGACCTTAGTCCTAAACTAACTTTGTTTTGCAGCTCCTAAAACCTCTGATTTACTTCGAGGAACTTCGAGGAATTTTCAAACCAGGGAAATATATTAAAAAGACTTGAAATAAGTAATTCGTACTTTCTGATCATCAAAACGCAAAAACGTAGCGAAATATTCATCTGCGCTTGTAATTTTCGAGCCTGACGAGGACTTCTAACAAACAAACATGAACGAACTTATCAAGGTATGCTTTGGTCTTGTTCACTGAAAAATTATCGTGTTGATATTCTTCGAAAGCTGTGTAAAAATACCACGTTATTTATTTTTTTTTTACCTGAATTACAAATATTCCCGACTATTCGTGTAGATCGTGAATTGGATATTTTATTCGGGAGTTCCCGAGTTTAAGTTTGATCTATTAATTTGACATGATCTCGTTTATTTTGTGTCTTTGGTATGTAGTTTTCGATGATAACTCTCGATGAACTCATTTTTTCGCTGCTAAATCGCTGATTATTCGAGTAAGCAAGTTCATACCAAGGTGCAATAAAAAACTGTCAGGGAACAAATGAAGTTTAATTCAGAAAATCAAGCTGTTCCTAGATTACGAATAAATGCCTTCGGGTACGAATATTTTTACATTTCTCAGGAAGAACTATAGACCAAGATTTTGGACAGGCAACAAGAATTGAACCGCGGGTGTAGGCTTTTAATTAAGAGGAAGAGACCGAAATTGATAAAAAAAGGTTGCTGTTGTCATCAACTTCTTGTAACGTTGTGAGAGTTCTTTGCTAAATGCAAATAAATTTTACTGTAGCGACTAATTGTACGGAAGTTGCAGTAGATATGCTTTTGTCATGGTAATAATAGATCGGTAATAATTCCGTGTAACTTGATATTGTTTACAGAAACGTAAACTGTAGTACTTACTTATCTCCCTTCAACATTGCGTCATGAGTTTCAAGATCGCCTTTCGAATTGTTCAGGGCCTGTCTTAAACAGGCGAAAAAGAGAACAGGAGTTTCATAGAAGAAAACACGTCTTAACTTGAAAATAACATACTAGCTGCCGTACATCAGAATTTTGTTTATATCGAAATCTTGGTTACGGTGACAGCATGATTCTCCAATATGTTATTGGAATCTTGTTTGATCATCACAAATTACTGTACTTTCATTTTCCATCCGTTTTCAATAGTACCTGCAAGCTATTCTGTTCTCATATGAATTCTTTCGGAATTACAGAATCACTAGAAACTGCTCCTGGCAGATGCATCTATATTGTTTAATATTCTGAAGAGAGGAAAAAATCATTAATCAAAAAATCAATAACATGGGTGTTAGGGTTAGTTTGGGTTAGTTTGTGCTTAGTCACAAAAGTACAGCAAGAAAGATATTTTAAGGTCATATTGTCATTGGTGGTTTTGATGGTTGTACATCGCTTAAATGTGAAAGGTTGGGATCAATCATCACTGTCTCCATGTTTGACCAAAACAGAGTTACATGTTTATGATACAAAGAAATTTTCCTTTGCATATGTAGTTTATTGAACAGCAAGTTTACCATGTTATGTGTGTTAGTGTGAATAATTCTGGTCAGCATTTCAAATTCTGGAGCAAGAAGTTTATAGTTGAGGGACAGTTTATAAGTAAATTCTCAGTATAGGTAGTGTTTTTAAAGACTTGATATCTTAAAGCACGTCATTATTCATCTTTTCCAGCAATATTAGGGTCTGATGTTGCCTATATGTAGTTACGTGTGTATGTGTCAGCACACCTCCCACAGAGGGCTTGAGAAAGAGCAATACTTCAATGACAATTTAGTGAACGTTAAGTATCATTTCTTGACACAGATGAATTACACAAACAGCACTTTCTAATCTAAAGGAGGGGTAATCAATCAAAAAAAGCAATCTTGTGTCTCAGTTTCACATTTCATGGTGTGACATTTACGTTAAAACTAACTTAGATCAGGAGCATGTTTTGTCTAATTGCTTTTTTTAAATTTTATCTTCTTATTTTGCAGGTGACATTCATGGACAATACACAGATCTTTTAAGATTATTTGAATATGGAGGCTTTCCTCCCGAGGCAAACTACCTGTTTTTGGGTGATTATGTGGACAGAGGAAAACAGTCTTTGGAAACCATCTGTCTGTTGTTAGCCTATAAGATCAAATATCCAGAAAACTTCTTTCTGTTGCGAGGAAACCATGAATGTGCTAGCATTAACAGAATATACGGCTTCTATGATGAATGTGAGTATGGGCAAAGCAAATCGGTTTAAAATAAATTTCAATGTCAGAGTTATTCTTCTGCAACATAATTTTTGGATCATGGGAACTGATATATGTAGTTCAACCCCTCTGGAAAATCCCTGTGGCTGGATTTGTGCTACCACTTTTGGATGTTTCTTTACCTTTCTGAAACCTTTTTTTCTTTTAATTTCTTTGTAAATGGTTCTTTCTATGGTGATGTTGTTAATGGGGTCCTGAAAAGGAGGTTGAATGAAGTCTTCTCAAAAATTTTGTAGTTTTTTAATTCCAAAAATACTCTTGATCGAGTGCCATTATTGGCTAAATGAAATTGCTTTGTGTTGTATTTCACAGGCAAAAGGCGGTATAACATCAAGCTGTGGAAAACCTTCACTGACTGTTTTAACTGTTTACCAATCGCTGCTATAGTGGATGAAAAGATCTTTTGCTGCCATGGGGGTGAGTAGATATTTAATCAGTCATGATCATAAATAAACAATAATTTTCTTGGCTGATGTATGTATTCTGAAATAAAAGTGTATTGTTTATTTTGGGTGGGAACTACATCTAACTATCTATGAATTATCCTCTATATAACTTTACTTCTTATTATCCCACATCTTTGAAAATTTAAAAATATTTCTTTTCTTTTCTCTTCAATTTTCTTCTGCTTGAATGGAGATTTGAAAACATTAGTCTCCAACGAAAACTCCAGTCATCTTGAACTGCAAAGATTTGTTTCAGTCTGCTAAACTCAAAACACACTAAAGTACAGAAATGTATTGTTTAATATTTTGAGGTTTTGATTTCATAACCTTATCTCAGCCTCTTGTTTATTTGTTATGGTCTATGTTCACATCTATTTTCTTACATTGCATGCTTTCATTATCTGTTTGCTTGCAGGTCTCTCACCAGATTTACAGTCTATGGAACAGATTAGAAGAATCATGAGGCCCACAGATGTTCCAGACACTGGTAAGAAGTGAATAGATTTATGTTATAGAGACAACAGACCTAAAAGAAACAATGTTGTTGCTTATTCAAGAGTTCAATCTGCTCCATGAGATATGGAGCCACTTATTTCTTAACTTAATGTAAACATTATTAGCACTTAATTGTGTACAAGTTTCACTTTTCTCCTGGGTAACAACAGTGTTTTCATAAGCTACCTTTTCTTTTTCTAAATTGAATTTTTTCTTTCAGTTTTCCCTCACTGACTGATTTTTTTTTTTCCTATATACCCACAGGTCTTCTTTGTGACTTACTTTGGTCAGACCCGGACAAAGACACAAATGGCTGGGGTGAAAATGATAGAGGAGTTTCCTTTACATTTGGAGCTGATGTAGTGAGCAAATTCTTAAACCGTCATGACTTAGATCTCATATGCAGGGCTCATCAGGTAAGGTTTGGAATTACACTGTACATGTTCACTGCAGAAAGTTGTACAATCTGAGCAAAATATATAAATTGACCACTTTTAAGAGTTTCTAAAGCTGAGTTTTTGAGTTTCAACCCTTCATGTTTCACTCTGATAGAAGGGCTAGCACTCAGAAAGTCAGGTTTAGAAACTTTTTACACTGGCCAATTTACATTATCAACTCAGTTGATTAGCCAACCGTGGTAACACAGCACCACAGTTTCTTTAGAAACTTACCCCCTTTATTCAGTTATAAATTGCCCTCTGTTTCTTAATTATGTAGCAAATTTCAGTTTTTAATCATGGTCTCTCTTTAGGTTGTGGAAGATGGCTATGAATTTTTTGCCAAAAGACAGCTAGTTACATTGTTCTCAGCACCCAATTACTGTGGAGAATTTGATAATGCAGGTGGAATGATGAGCGTGGATGAAACCCTGATGTGTTCTTTCCAGGTATGAAAAGCACAATCGTATCTGTCAATTTGGCACATTTTGTTGTTTTGTTACAACCACTTGCCTTGCACTGCAAACCATCGTGTCGTTACAAATTGATATTTGATTTAAGATTTCACACGTACAGGCATACCAGTAGAGTATTTTGAGCACAATTCAAGTCAAGAAAAGTGTCACTTGCATTTCATACCTTGTATACAAAAGGTACATGTAAGTTTGTCATACAGAGCCCCAAGCCATGCAAGGTTTAGCATTTTCTGGCCTCACATTGGTTACCAGAAATACTATATTAGTCGCCAGGAAAAAACCAAACAAAGCAGAAACAAATATGTGATGTCAAATGACCCTGTCAATTGCTGCTATCATAACTCTGAAATCATTGATACTATGTGAATTTCAAGACTTAAAAACTACAAAACTACTATAGCATTTTCATCACATTTTATGAAGTTAATTGTTTAATATCTCATATTGCATGGACAGACACAATGACGATGCCATTTGGAATAGAATGAAATTGTAAAGTTTTGCATTTTTTCCCTCAGATTTTGAAGCCATCAGAAAAGAAAGCCAAGTACCAGTACGGTGGATTAAACTCTGGCCGACCTGTCACACCTCCAAGAGGTCCACCAAAAGCAAAAGGAAAGAAATAGGCTTGAGATTTAGTTGGCAAGCCTCACTTCTTCTACTGAAAGGACTCTAAACTTGTTGTTTGTGATACAAGTTATCAAATCCTCCTTGATACTGAGATAGTTTTGTTTATTTTTGGCAAAAAGTAAACTCCTCCTATTGGTGTCGTAGATACCATGTTTACTGCAGTTTCTCAGAATGGAATGGTCTGTAGATCATTCACAAGTTATTTGTGATAAAATTATTTTAGCTTACCTTAAACAGAGTACATTTGCCAGACAATTGGTTTATCCTTTTACTTATTTATCTGAAATTCAGTTTGTCGTGTGTTTGTGTGTTTTGTCTGGCATTAAAATGTTTTATAATTGATTGAGAAAAGTGAAGCTTCTTGGCCAAGGTTCAGGAATTTTTAAAGTTAAACAGTGCACTTAGCACACTTAGCAGTTTCTTCACAAAGTCAGTGGTAGATGAAATTGAGTTAAAGCTGAAAGATAGCTTTGAGTGTGATGTTCATGATAATGACGTGGAAAGATAACCAGCCATTTCTAAGCCCTCTGCCTTAAATTTATTGGCTGCTTATCTATTCACTTTTAGTCAGAGTTCTGGAAGGTTTTTTCTTTCCTAGAAGTTACAATTTCAGTTTGTAGTTATTTTTGACCACAGTACAAATTAGATGTTGCAGTTTTATTCCTCTGTAAACCTACAACTGAATTTCAAGGTGCAAAAAATAGATAATTTAATTAAAATTTTGTTGCCATCAAACAGGACTATACTGAGTTTACTTGGTATATATTTCTGTTGTAATTCTATTCATATAATGGGCAAATGAGGCACATCAATCTGTAACTTTAGTTGTGAAAAAATGAAGTAGCAGTAGCAGTTACTGGTACCGATCATGATTGATTCTGAAAGTCTGTGTGTTTTCCAAAGAGGATAGTCCTGATGCACCCGAAATATTGGATGCTACATGTATTTCCACCTCATTAGCAGAAAAGGAATTTGCACAGTTGATAAATAGTTTAACAAAGGATAAAGGATGTGGTCATGAGCCATCTTAAGAAGGTTTCAACTACAGTCTGAGTACTTCAACAGACATTATTGGTTCAATGTTGCAATCATTATTTTTTCCATGAAAACAGTAATAGATTGTGGTTGATCTGCCTGTCTGTGTTAAATTTAGTTTCACAGTTATGTTCATAAAGTAGATGAAGTTACATGTACTGAAATTTTTATTTCAACCACAAAATGTAACTTTTGTAGATCCAAGAGCAACTCCATGTTAGAATCTACTTTTCAAAGTTTTGAATGCTAAAACTTGTAACAATATAACTTGAGCTCCTTGTAGGTGAGCCTTGTACTAAATTGCATAAGGCAAGATAGCCTGTATTGCAGGCAGAGTTGATTGCCAGAGAAGTAAATTTTGACTTTGTCTTCAATACAGACTGAAGATGGTGTGCTTTTTTGCTACTGTCAGTGTTTCCGAGGTAAAGCCCTTAATGCCCAAGATCTGTTTGTTAATTCTCCCCTATAACTGTAGCACATTTCCTAAATTAGTAATGAGAATTTGGTGTTTGATAAAGAGAACAGCTTCTGCTTTATAAGCATTCTCATTACCTGTGTGCTGGACAATGTTGGATGTTAAGTTTCATGTTGATTGCCACTGGAAGTTAGAGAGTTAAGAGAAAAGAGAGAGATATTGATAGCTTTAACCCTTTCACTACCACAAGTGACCAAGACAGAATTTCTCCTTACAATATGAATACAATATCAAGCAGGAAGGTGATGAGAATAGAGAAGAATATCAATCATGGGATCATTAGTTGATCCAATACCAAATTCTCTGAACTAACATCATAAGAATTGTATGGCAGATAGTAAGGAGAATTACTAATCAGATCTTGAGAGTGAAAGGGTTAAAAGGATGATTTTCTTCTTTCCCAGTTGAATGTCTAAAATACATTGTTAAAGATTTGTAAATTGCATACTTAAAGCTTCCTTGTAAACAACTCTGTGACTTCTCTCAATCTCTGAAACTCCTTGCTCAAAGATGTGGACAAAGAGATTGTGTGACTTTGTAGGAGCATACTCAAGCTCAAGTTGTACTCTAAGTATTTCATGTGAACCAGTACAAAGGACTGTTTTGTAGATGCAAACACTAGAGAGAACTAGTAACAATAAAAACACTTCTAACTTGGAAACAGCATTCTTTGATTTCTCCTTGAGTTGTATAGGAGTTAAAAGATTTTTCAACAAACTCTATTTGTTATTTTCCAGTATTTGATCTGCCAAGTGTGAGAGAAATGGAAAAAAATTAGGTCCTTGTGTTTTGAGGTTTTCTTTTATTTTGTTCCAGCTGAGCTAAACTGATTTCTAATTAAACAAGACAGATGTCCCATCCTGTGAAAGCTTTTCCCCTTTTCTGTAATGTGAAGCAATAATGTGTATGGTAACTTACCCCTCAGTGGGTAGTAACCCATGCCAATGCATGGTTACCTTCTGTATTTCTTCAGGTTTATCTGGTTTCAATAAACACACCTGGGTGAAGAGAATGCACTTTGAAAGTATAGTGTCTCCCTGAACCCAATTGTAAGAGGACTAATGCAAAACATTGGACTCCCTTAGATTCAGACTAATCAAAAAGTTTTTGACCTTTACCATTTATTTTCATCCACTAACATGCATGCAGCACTCCTTACACATGAACACTTCAAAATGCAATTTGAAGAGATGCAATACAAACTTTTTGTTTCTGGACAGCTTAGATACATTTTTGTACACAAGAAAATTTTTAAATGCTGAGAGCTTGTAGAAACTGCACAAGATTCTGACTTGCCCCATAAAGACTTGTAAATGCCAGAGGTGAAGTCAGAGTTAAAGAGTTCTCAGAATTGGCTTTGATCATTTCACTCTGTAAAGAACCTTTCTTTGAAACCTGTGTTCAAGCTCTCCTCTCCTCAGCATTATGTAAATAACTGTGTGGATTGCTTGTTCAGAATATTTCTGTGAAAACAACAGGAAAAGAAAAATAGGCATTATCAGTAGACAATTTTATTGCTGTAAACTTGTTCATCAAGTCAAAATAAAACCAGTAGTAATGTTAACTTTACAACAAACAGAAATGTTGATTGAACCTACCTGTTTGGCAAAATCTTGGATAATTCTCTGCTCTGAAACCTACCAGAAAAAGGAAGCAGTTATTAATATTAATAGCTAAGATTAAAAATAGCAGGTAATTGATGCATATTGCTGGTTTAATGTAATATAATAACCTGACAAAAGGTCTGATAAATTATCTTAAAAAGAAGTAATTGCTGAAAAACGTTCTTCACCTTACAGCATTGAAACCTCTTCAAGAATTTGAGTCCTAATTTGATTACGAGTGGTACACTGGAAACATCAATAGTTTTGTTAACTTATGGAGTGCTCTTTTGACAGGATCATGCCAACAATAAGTATTACCTGAGTGCCGATGGCAAATCTCTTCCTTATTTGCTTTTCAATTTGTCTAACTTCCTCAACATCCTGTTCAGGTGTAAAACCTTCAGCTCCTGAAAGGTGTTTATCAATAATTGCTTGTAAATATCTAAACTACAACAACTTGCATCTACTACAGTCATGGCCCACACAAGAGTGTTAAATTTATCAAGCTCATTATTAGTAGGGAGCCAAAAAAATTTTTCCCTCTCTCGTCATGCCAATGTCTGGATCTACAAACAGTATTTAGGCTGAATTCTGGGCTCTATCAGGCTCAAAATTTTTGTATGGGAATGACTAAACCAGCCCTTACACCCTGACCTTTCAACCTAGTGGGCACTTGTCCCTGCTGATCTATTAAAATTGTGATTTACCTGAGAGGCTGCCTGACATGGCAGCATCCAGAGTTGACACCTGGAAGAGCCTCAGGGCTTCTTCAACATGCACTGCAGTAGCAAATGGTTGTAACCTCATTTTTGCCAGTGACTCTGAAATTCTGATGATTGCCTCCAGTTGTCTGAAAGATGGATACAAATTAAGTTACCAGTATTTAAATCTTAATCTACAAGTCTACTTCCACTAAATATAATTGAAATCCGTACCTGACAGTTATAGGTATGTTGATCTTTTTTTCAGCATCCTTCTCATAATCTCGCGCTCCACTTCGCATGAGAACATAGCGATTCTTCAGCATTTGAGCAGCTTCCTCAGAAAGCCTTGGGCCACATTTGCTATTAAAATATAAAAACAGAGTTGGCTTGAGCAACACCACATAAAGAAACACAGATGAAGCCACAGAATATCTCAAGCAAGCTGATGACATACTTCCGACAGTAACCAATGTACTTCTTTATAAAATTCAGGCTCAGCTCTCCCTCTTGTGCTTGTCCTGTTTGAGCGGCATTCAAATGAACTTGCATGACGTGTTTGGCAAGGCGCTGACGGAAGGGATTGGAAGGGAAAAAAACACATTTTCTCAAGCTTCTTGAAAGATTAATAAGAACCTAGCACTGATGTCCAACCTCATAAATTATAGAATGATTTTGTTTACACCAGTGTATAATAGTATTTCATATACAATAATCTTTTATTAGTTCATTCATTTGAACATGAGTGGTACACAACAGTATAAGGATGACCCTTCATACTTTCACCCTTTAACTCCCACAAGTGATTAACTTGCAACTTCTCCCTACAATATCTGTAC